CACTGCATTTTAATCATGATCCAAACAAAGATGCTAAATACATGTTCTTTAGATTGCAATTAGATTGTATAATTTCGAAATTTGAAGCAAAAACAATGGTCTGATTTTAGCTTTGTGAATGAGACTCAAATGTCACTCTCTGACAGCAGGTGGCGCTTATGGAACAGCAGGTATTTATAGGCTGCTGCCCCTTTAAGACCGAATGCACGGATCCAATATAATGATGCACTTGAGATTTCTTTCTCCACTGTTTACGTTCACTTAAGACATAACCGACTGTTTACGAGAATACTTGCCGAGACAGTTATTTTGAGATAATTGTGTGTATGTGTTCATTCAGCTGCAAGGATATGCAAAAGGGGAATCAATTCTGTGTACGCGCAGTGTCTGAAACGTGGCTCTCTGTGCGCGCTTTGAATGAGCGTGAACGGTTTAAAACACTTGAATGTTTAAATCGGCAAGACTTCGAAACACGTGCAAACGCTCAACTATGATCCGTTTTACCCCTACAAGCTAGTGAACAACGCAAATTGAGGAAGGAATTTTATATCATTGTTCAAGATACATTTTGGTAGCCCGAATGGAAAACGCAATAGCCCCGGGACATCGGGCTAGTGATTTTGCGAGCCCTGCTACAGGTTCTGTACAGATTACTGAAAGATGGAAAGTGTCATCAATCCGAACTCTTTTCCATTACCCAGGATGAAGTGTTGTATTGATTGTGTTGCTGTCTTTTTCTGTGTAACGAAAGTAGACTTGTTTTTAAGGGTCACCAGTGCCACTGGTGTGCCTCAGACATCGCCACATTTGTTACGCCGGGTAACTTCCTAAAGTATATGGTTATGGTTTTCAGGATGAATAATGCTTCAGCTACTTTTCAGAGATCAATGCGGAAAGCATTATTAGCATAAACTTTTTTTTCAGTTATTCCAAAGAATACAGTTAAAGGGGAAGCCAACACAAGGAGAGATTATACAGTTCTGAAGCAAGAAACAAGTGGTTATCCCAACGATATACCAATTATTGATTATTATGTCTTTATACGCAAACAGGATGTGACTACACCACTGATCTAACAACACTGGAGTAGAGATGTAGCCACAATCAGATGTCAAAAGTAGTTAATTTGTAAGTTTAATAAGCACAGTTTATGTATTATGATGGGGCTTAAATCCTTAAATGTGAATTTCTCTGCAAAACTGGACAAAGTTCATTAGATCCCTTTTTTTTCCTGATATTTTAGACAAATGGTTGATTTGTCCTGGGCCAAACTGTGATTGTTTTTGATAAAGGGTTTAATAACTGCGAGCATGAACGTTTTTGGGAGGTGTCCTAAACGAAGAAAAAGAGTTTACAATATTGATAAGAGTTTCTAAAATGATATGCATCACCTCCTTCAATTAGATTAGTGCAAATACTATCTAGCATACATGTTGGTTAAAGTAATAAGCCGCTTATTGCTTTTATAAAACGGTTATTCCATATATGAATCGGAGTTTCACAAAATAAAACAAGACAAATAAAATGATATAAATACAAACATAATTCTTCCGCCAAACAATGTAGTTCTTCAGAAACGGTTGTGGTTGCAACAAAGTGGTTGCCGAACAACACAACGGTGTGTGTTTGTAGAGTAATTTACAACAGCTTCGAACGAGGCTCAACCAATCAGAATCAAGGACCGGAACTATCCGTTTTATAATAATGTTTTGACGTCTGTTTCTTTGTGCTATTTAACTGGGCTAACTTTCATTTGTCTTTTTTCACCATAGACCTCATGCCGCTGAAAGAGGAGCGCATAGTACCGAATGAAACGGAAGAGAAAGAACAATATGAGACTCATCATGATTTAAAAACCGAAGAATCTTTCAGTTGGCCACAGATTAAAGAGATTTTCTCACAGAAAACAGCACATAAAACAGGAACTGAAAGTTATTTCACCCCTTTTCACTGTGAAAAGAGTTTTGATGAACATGGAAACCTTAAAGCCCACATGAGAGTTCACACTGGAGGGAAGTCTTTCACCTGCCAACAGTGTGGAAAAAGATTTACTCAAGAAGTAAACCTTAACAGGCACATGAGAATTCACACTGGAGATAAGCCTTTTACCTGCCAACAGTGTGGAAAGAGTTTCGATCAACATGGAAGCCTTAAAGTGCACATGAGGATTCACACTGGAGACAAGCCTTACACCTGCAAACAGTGTGGAGTCAGTTTCACTCATGAAGGAAACCTTTACAGGCACATGAAAATTCACCCTGGAGACAAGCCTTACACCTGCCCTGAGTGTGGAAAGAGTTTCGATCATAATGGAAGCCTTAAAGTGCACATGAGAGTTCACACTGGAGAGAAGCCATACTCTTGTCTTCAGTGTGGAAAGAGTTTCTATAATCAGGGAAACCTTAAAGTGCACATGAAAATTCACACTGGAGAGAGTCCTTTTATCTGCCAACTGTGTGGAATGAGCTTCATTCATAAAGGATTCCTTAATAGACACATGAGAATTCACACTGGAGAAAAGCATAAAATGTGTCATCAGTGTGGAAAAAGTTTCAGCCGAAAAGGAAGCCTCAACAAACACATGAGAATTCACACTGGAGAAAAGCATTACTTGTGCCATCAGTGTGGAAAAAGTTTCAATCGAAGAGGAACTCTTAACAGGCACATGACTATTCACACTAGAGAAAAACTTTATACATGCCCTCAGTGTGGAGAGAGTTTCGATCTACATGAAAGCTTTAAAGCCCACATTGGAGTTCACACTGGAGAGAGTCCCTTCATCTGCCAACAGTGTGGAAAAAGTTTTACTCAAAAAGGAAACCTTAAAAGGCACATGAGAAAATTACACTGCATTTATTAAACACAAACTTGATCAATACACGAGGATTCGTTTGAGAGAACTGTTTTATGTCATCAGTGTGGAAGGAGTTTCTCAGACAGGAATCATGTAATAACATTATTATTATTATAGAAGTGAAGACCAGGGTTAGGGCTCCAGACTAATTTTTCCAACTTGTCGCTCTTTTGCAGCTAACCTCAGTTGGTCGCACGAGCACATGATTTAGCGAAAAATAAAAAAATTGCGACCACAAAATGGGATTAATCAATGCATGCCGATTAACTTTTATCATAGTTTATAGTTATATGGAAAGAAAAGTGGTTAACATTCAACCCGTTCTTTTTCATCAGTAGTATTATTTATGATTTAATTTTGTGAATGGGAGTTCCTTTTTTATGTTGTTATAAGCTGGGCTTCATTTACTTTCTCTTTTGAATTCGCAATATTGTCACATTTTAAAAGATAAATTGTCTGTTTTGCCTACATTCATCTACACACCTTTCACTTTTTAAGATTAAAACAAAAGATGGATTCATTGTTATTCTTCATTAAAAGCACAATAACAATAAAACAGTATGATAGAATGACAAACTAGCTTAAACAAACATTTATTAACAAAAACGAATAAGATAATTAATTTTATTAAGAAACCATTAGGAAACAATACAGAGTATATAAACCACGTCAAAACTCTGGGAAACACAACCAAAAATAACGAAATCGCTGAGAACACTGCATAGCCCATACACCAGGACGTTTGACTGCACACGGGAAATACATTAGCCTAAGCGTTTAAACATATAAAAAATATAAAACGTTTTTTCAGTACACCCGTGAGATTTCCATGTTCCACTTTTAAGACTCATCTCACCTAGCCACAACCAGATCCCACAATACAAACATAACATTCACAAACAAATAAAAGCAAGCATAGGTAGTGCTGTGTGCATCAAGTATGCATCAGTTTAATAACTTTGGTAACTTTAATTCTTACAACTGTTAAATTAATGGGCAAAGGTTAAATATTTCAAAGAGTAGATAGAAAAAATAGCCAACGTAAACTACCGTATTGACCCGAATATAAGACGATGTTTTTTTCTTGGAAATGCATCTGAAAAAACGCGGTCGTCTTATATTCAGGGTCTAGACTTTGACATGTCAATAATACACCCACAACAATAGGTGGCGCCAAATACGCATAAAACCAGTGTGCCATGAAATACGTAATGTAATGCGTGTTGTAAAGATCGCGAGTAAAAACTAAAGAGAAAGAAAAGCTTACAGCTGCATGAGTCGTGACTGTCACGTTAGCCTGATGCGACCAAACTCTCTTTGTGATTTTAAAACGTAACACAGTACCCAGATTTGAAGACTACAGTAAGATTGAACTTCTACTGTTAATAAGATTTTGGTAGGCTACTATTAGATGGATAGCCTAAATGTCCTAATTCAGATGGGCTACCGTTTTTTTTAATTTTTTTATGGTATATCAGAAAGTGTATATTTTTAAATGTGATTGTTGGTACAGTTTACCAGTTTTTACCATACTTTCAAAACAAAAATTAAAATAGGAAAATTAGGCAATATGAAATTAATTGAAAACAAAATGTGTTTTACTGAGAAAAAACAAGATTTGGTTTTTAAAAAGCCTTTTTCCAAAAGCTACATCTATGGTATATCAGAAAGTGTGTATTTTTTAAATGTGATTGTTGGTACAGTTTACCAGTTTTTACCATACTTTCAAAACAAAAATTAAAATAGGAAAAATATGCAATATGAAAATAATTGAAGACAAAATGTGTTTTACTGAGAAAAAACAAGATTTGGTTTTTAAAAAGCCTTTTTCCAAAAGGTACATCTGGAAAAAGGGGGGGTCGTCTTATAATCAGGGTCGTCTTATATTCGGGCCAATACGGTACATATTATAAACATCGGAGCAACCATAGAAATGTTTAAATGTATCTTTATTATAACAATTTTCTCTTAAGTTAAACAATTATTCACACTTCATTCAAAACACTTTTTTTACACGTTTAAAAAGTAAACGCCATATATCATTGTTCTCGTATAAAGTACACAATACCTCCAACACCCCAAATTTCTACAAACTTTGGGAAACAGTCCACCAGAAAGAGAGAGAGAGCAGATGGACTACAAGAACGCTAAAGTTTTACTCTACAACCGGTTCAATGCAAGTGACATGGTGTCATATATGTGAAAAAACAGTCAGCATCTAACCTTATGAATATTTGGCTTCACTGTAACCGCAGAGGCGGGTTTAGCTGAAGAAGGGACGACGATAGCAGACTGGAGAGCAGGACCAATGTTGACAGGGCCGCCGGTGGTGGAGCTGGACACGGAGTTGTTGGTAGTTGAATCATCCACGCTTATCCTTGAAACTTTAATATTTTTAGGGCTTTTGAAAAACTCAGAAATTCTCTTTTGTGACATGCTTAAATTCACACTGCGCTTCGTGCGTCTAACTGAAATTACGTCCCTCAAGGTAACCTTAAAGTTACGCGTTGTAATCGGCAACAACAACATCTGATTGGTTAATACACATCTTGATTTGAACTCTTTCCCCGCCATTGACGAGTTATCTCGCCTTTTAGAAGACAATGCTTCACCGCCAAAGACGAGTATTTATGGCTTTTCGTGTTTTCACTGTTATACACTCGGGGGAGCCATTACACATCTTCTGAACGAGGACAAAACCTCCCGAACAAAAACACACGCGAACAGACGTGACAGAATTTTAATTTTGGGGTGAACTAACCCTTTAAGCTGATTTAACTAAAAATAATATGTTATGCAATAAATATAATATATGTGAAATGTATGTGAACCATAGAATGAATATGATTAGATGTGGCTGAATTAGCTGGCTTTGTTTAAGCTGATTTAACTGAAAATAATGTGTTATGCAGATAAACTATAGTGGAAATACTTATTAGACATTTATTATGTGAAGGCATAATTTCTGTTTTGTACGAATTACAGTCATTTTACTGTAGTGATTAAATTGTCAGATTTGTTTTTGACATTTTAGGAGTACATTTTTTTTTATTTAGTTGATTTATTTCAGTGTGGTTCGGTACTGAATAAGTCAAATCTGTGTTGTTGCATATGGCAGATGTTGCATCAAAAATTCTAGACTTTTTATATAGTGAATATAGTGTTTATGTGCAAATATTGCTGTACTTCTTAGCTTGGATGTTTGGCTGTGTCTTTGTCTCCTGCTTGTTATATCAGTTTGCTAAACACCAAGAGCTCCATCAAGCCACTCCCATAATAGCTGTCATCATTCAAATTAATGCACGACTCTACATTATCTGTATAGCATGTGTGAAAGACTCTTACACAATTATGAAGTAATTTTTTCCATGACGAATACATTTTTCAATAAATGAACCTGACTGTCTATTAATGTATTATTTTTCAAGTTCATTTTTTAATTATTACTTAAAGGTCCCATATTGTCAAAACTGAAATTTCCTGTTTTTTTTCATGATAACAGAGGTCTAGATGCTATTTAACTACCATATAAGTTTCAAAACAGTCAAATGCACACAGCCTGCATAAAGTAGCTGTGATTTTTCACAAACCAGCAGAACTACTCAGTCACCACCCCAAGCTGCCCACAGTCCCACTCTCCTTTTGCCAAACCCCCAGACAACATCGCATCCATGCCATTGCTGAGCAACAACAACAACATGGAAACATGTCGAGAAAACGCTGTTCAGTCTGGACGTTAGGAAACGACATCATTGCACAGTAGGGCTGTGACGGTCGCCGTGACAACCGCGCCACCAGCGGTAGCGCACGTGATTATAACAAGCATAATACAAAGTGTTGTATACAAGTATAATAATAGTAACCGTTGCAAATTGTTTTATTTAGACTATAAGTCTATGCTAATTCATAAATTACCTCAAATGCCATACACGCCGTTTGATCCTTTAGATTGGCAGGTTTGAGCACAGGAAAATACAGTACAGAATACAGAAACCAAATACTACATCGCCAATCTGGAAACATTTCCATTCATGTCACCCATCCGGATTTGTACAAGTGTCTTCAAGTTCACGTGATCACAAACGCTCGGCTGGTCAGGTTTGTATTTACTGCATTTGGTGTTTGAAAAACAAACCCCATGAATTACCATTCTGAAGCATCCTTTTGTAAGCGCGTTTGGGGAGGTGGTTGGTTGTCTCCTGTCGTCGAACCTCAAACATGTAAGGCCGGACAACATTTCCCTCAGCAGTGACCATCATTACCGGTGTTTCTATTGACCTTACTTGTGAGTATCACCAGGCTACAGCATACATGACCCTAGTTACCTGTGATTGGCCTGGCCGTGCGTCACTCAGAACACAACAGGCCAATCGGAAGAGAGGCTCATGAATATTAATTAGGCAGGCCAAAATCGACCTGTTCTTTGCAGAGCTCCTGAGAGAGGAGCTGGAAAAATATATCGAGATGGTTTTTGGTACTTATACGGCAAATATATATTCTTAAGGACATCAAGACATCAATAAAACTCTAGAAAGGTGTTAAGTACGTGACCTTTATTACAAAAGTACCCTGGTGAACCAGGGACAGTAATTTTAAAGTAACCGTGGATGGGACAGATGCAATCTAATCCTGTTTACATGAAAAAAGCCTGCTCCTGAGCAGGTTTAAGCTTACGGACTCAGGAGACTGGTGTATATTCAATCTATATTGAAAATGTGCTGTGTGGCACCGTTAGGGTTGGGGGTACTCAATTTTGGACTTGGAGTCAGACTCAAAACATGGATACTTTAGGCAATATAGAGATCCTAGCCAAGACATATCAGGGAAAAAGAGGACATATGGTCACACTGTAGAAAGACATAATTCCTAGTCAAAGTCTTTACTTAATTTATTTTATTTTCAAGTAGGTAAAGATTTTTGATATGTTTATACACATTATCACCATCATCAACAAAGTGAAAATAATTGGTGAAATACCTGGTTTGGTAAAGTAATCAGCCCTTTACGCCGGGTCCACACTGCACGATTCGGATCGCTGCTCTTCTCACACTTCACGACTGTCTGGGGTAGCACCTAGTTGCTGTTGTGAGCACATGACACACCGGATCGGTGACAGTGGGTCAAACATTACACAGTTTGTAGACAATGAAAACTGCGATTCTTCCTATTGAGAACCTATGTTTCACAACCAAACACACTTGAGAATTGAAATGGGAAATGACATAATATGCAAGAGAATGGTTTTAT